GTGAGAAGTGACATGAAATTCTTTGGTCACATTGAAAATGCAGACAAAATACATGCCAGACTAAAAGAGACCAGAAACTAGAAATAAAGCAGAATCTAGATCAATTGATCTGTAGAAAATTGGCAGCACATGTACAACACCAATTTGTTTTGGACTTCATCAACAAGTTTTCTTAGCATCCCTTTGCTGAGGAATAACAGAATGCAATATCTAAAGTTATCCATATAATTAAAAGACTTGCCTCCAATAACAAATTCAATAATAGAACATTAAGGTCATTAATGATGTAATTAGGCTTACCTTTGAATCATTTTCATCAAAGATTTCTCCAATAATCTCCTCAACCACATCTTCTAAGGTTACCATCTGCGCCATCAAAAAATGAGTACATAAATATAAAAAATCAATCAGTCAATAAAATGAGCACAAATATTATTAAATAAGCAATCCAAAAGAGAAAGAAAACCCATGCATGGTAAGTTGTAGACTTTTTGTGTTCTCATGCTGAATATTCCACTCTTATCTAAACTCGAGAAGAAAAATGATTTCAAATATATGAGAGAGCATTTGAGTTTCATCTACAAGGAATTCCTATTTGTCTCCTAGACACACAGAACTGGATTAGTTAAGTGATGATGGGAAAGACTACTACGTAGTGCCAAAAAGAATGGTGGTGAAAAAACTAGGTTACATCACTGTGAAGCATTTGAAATACACCATCTTCAGACTCTTTTTCAGCCAGCTTACGAAGCTGACACAAATTAGCATTAAATCACCAATGAGACCAAAGTTTCCCAATGGCTTGGTGACATTTTTTAAAAAAAAAAAATCTTGTCCTTCCATGAATTAATATGAACCACATGAACATATAAGAAACCAACATCATCCTCTAAACCAAACAAGACAACAGTAATACTGCTGCATGAACTTCACAATCAAGATTTGAAATAGCAGATCAGATTAATCTTTGCTAAACTTAACCCAATATTTAAGTCAGCAAATGCCATTGCACAACAACCACAAACTTCATATATTTATCTAAACCATAAAAGTTATTGAAACACTAACAATCAATAACTATGAATGTTCTTCAACTTCATATATGTATCTTTTTCAACTTTTTTGATGTTTCCATACTAAAACTCAGATTTCAATTGCTATTCACTAATTATAAGAACCATCAATCTTCAAACCAAGAAAGCAAACCTTCCATGGCCACAGTGTAGTTATAGAAGTCTTTGCCATTGAGAAGAATGCAGATAGACCTAAAAGTGTAGTCAAAATCACACCTTGCTCTTTGAAAATCTTAAGAACCATAGAAACCTTGGGCCACGCATTCCTCAACAACAATGCCCACTGCTCAATCACTACGTACCTTGCATTCACCACTCCCTCCATCGCGAGCACTCTCTTGCACACGAAAACCAAAAGACAATAAAGCATTGCCCCAATAAAGACTCCCCGCTTCAACAAAATCTTCAGAGACTCCAAATCCAGGCCTAAAAACTCACCTTGGTTGCCACCCAGATCATTGTTTTCTTCACTTAACGATCTCAGATGAACTCCACCGCCAACAATGCCAGGTCTCCGCAATCTCAAACTGTAAATTCCACCAAAATGGACGTATTGAAACAACTGGAGACTACACAACATGGGAAGTGATTACTTTTGGATGATAATTTTATTGAGCATCTCAAATTTCGATTGTGTTGCACGAAACACGAGATAGTGCTTCATTCTTTTTCTATTTTTCTCATTTTTGCTCGAATGGAAAGTCTACTTCTACTCTGATTCAATTTAACTGTCTTATAAACTTTTTGTTTGTAATTTTAAATAATTTTTTTGCATGATATATGAACAGTGAATGGATTTTTTTTTAAAACAAATTATTCCAAAAAATTAAGTTGGCATTAACCACTAGGATTCGAGTGATCAAGATTGAAAAAGAAAAATAGATTGAATTAATTACTAATCACATAATTTTTACATTGAATTTTTGATGTAATTTCAGCAAAAAGCCTTTCTGCCATCCATGGCGCACAACCATATCTTAAGATATGTTTATGTGTTGCTGTAACACTCTTTTTATTTTAAAATAATTAATATTTTTTTAATTGTACTTCTATACTAAAATTTTAAAGATAATTTATTCTTTTATTTATACTAATTTTAAAAAAATGAATAAAAATTAAATTTTTATAATAAAATGAATAATTAAAATCAA